CCATGATAAAACCACTCAGGGTGTTGGTTTCCACCATGTGTGCTTGTATCAGTCAGCACACGTGATTAGCTCATGTGTGGTGACTCAACATAGAGGTATAAGACTCTGTCTACCTTATTATGCCTTTCAGTGTTTTTGTGTCTAGGCATTTACTATTGAAAGATATTTTATTGTAAGTTACTTTCTTTTTATTTCTCATTTGCAGTACAGTGAGAAAAAAGTTCTTGGCTTCATTTTATTTTAATTGTTTATAAGAAGGTGATACTTATCTGTAAATTTTATTTCAGGATAAGAAAAAAACATTATAAAATATTTGTTATAAAAATGGGAAGATTGAGAACTCCTGCTGTAGGAGATGGGGACCTTGTGAAGAATTTTAAGACAAAGATTTATCTAAAGCTATTCAGAGCCCTTAAATTTCCCTCTCTCCCCAAGGGTTCAGAGGTGGGCAAGATGCAAAAGTCCTCTTTCCTCCACCTCCTCCTCCCTCCCTCCCACCCCTGGGTACTCCTGCCGTGGGAATTATGTCCAAGCTCCCACTTTGAAAGTCCCTGGATTAAGGCCTTGGACTTGACTGCTAGGGCATAGATCAAACCTAAAGTTGGCCACCACCCATTTCAATACTATTTTAGCCAACCTCATCAAAACTCTGCTCCCTGCTATTGTCATTCTCCGAGGGATCGTGGTAACCTGAAGAGCCTTCTTTCCCTTCTCCTGAGGATGTACTTATTTCAGAATGAACTAAGTTCTGGGCTCATAGGAGCCAAGAAAATGGGTAGCCATCTTGGCTTTGTGCTTGGCAAGGGTAACAAACTGATCAGGCTGTCTTTCAACCAAATGAAGGCACATGACCAACAGCTCTGTGAGTTGAGTACCAATACTATTGGAGGGTCTTGTGGAGGTCAACTGCCAGTTACACAGCATAATTCAGTTTCTTTGCCCAAGCCCAGCTCTGTAATTGCTGCTTTAGGAAAGTCTTAGGACTGTTCTATGCAATGAATGTGTAATAAAGCACTGAAAACTTCAGCTTTACAGGTTGGTGGAATTTACTTTGATGCCAGAGATGGTAGTGGCAGAAGGATCACATTTTCCTCGCCACCTCTCCCATGCCTACCAAGAGGAAGAGGATGCCTTGATGCTGGTGATTCTGGCCCACCCCCCTTTTCCCCCTCCCCCAATCCTGCAGCTGGAGCCAATTCTGCTGCATGCTAGGCCTCAGTTCCCTGAAGGGGAGTTACAATTCTAGTGTATTTCTAAGAGGTGGGGGTTTACTTCAGGTTATGACAATGATAGATTCATTGGCGTGGGCTGAACCTTAATTGGTAGGCAAGGCTCAATACCTCAAGGTTCTAACATTTGGAATGTACAAGAATATCTTCACTACTTGTTAGGTTAGTGACGCAGGAGACCACATCCATTTGAAAGGTGGGGGAAAAATCCTGAGATGCTAAGTGTATTGATTATGTGCTCCCCACACCATGTTTCAGTTTTGACTTTCCTGGCTAGAGATCCATGACTTGACCTTCTTGTAGATGAGCTACATCTGCTTTTCTTCAGACATCTGCTTGCAATGGCTGGGTTCTCCCACAAAGCCCCATGCAGTTCCTGTGCCATAGGTTCTGAATAAACATGCCACTTAGGAGGAAGCATATTCCCCAATGCTGGTCTCCTTGCTCCTATTTCCATCATGAATATAAGTGTATGATTGAACTTAGGGTCCATCTTCAAGGCGAGAAGGTATACAACATCTTTTACTCAACCTCTTCTAGACTTTGCAAGTGCATTGACACAAATTTAAGACAGTTTCATGGGTCTCCCAACAATTGCAAGAGACATAGTATTCTGTGTGAAGAAAAAGTTTATAGAGCTCTGCTTCTGGAAATAGCTCATGACCTGAACATGGTCATACTCTTTTAACACGTATCCATTTCCCTAATTCCTAAGCTCTTGGGTCATATCGTGGAAGCTCTCCAGAGGTTTTTCAACCTCATCTCATTTTGGAAAGGTGATAAATAGAAGGTCTTGCAAACATACCTTGTCTAGTATAGACGCACTCTAACACTATGTGTGGTGGAGGCTGCGATGCCCCACCCAGATTCCCCTTTAGGAATGAAGGGTTTATTACCCTAACTGCTGGATGTGCCATCAAAAATAGCCTTCACCTGCCAGCCTCCTTCAGGTTTACCTGAGCTAAAGTGAGCAGCCTCCCTCAGTTCCATACCCCTTTCCTGGGGAGGCCAATATTCAATGTGGGGGAGCTCTAAAGGCCTTACCCCTTCTCCTCAACATGGGGTCTCTAAGGGATGATCCCATCTTCAGAATTACCCAGAGGATCAGCTGAGGCTTCTATTGAGGCTGTATCCCAGATTGGCTCCTTCTTCTGGGTGATCTTGCTCCTTTCCTTCCTTTCCACAGGTCTTGATCGCAAGAGCCCTACCTAATAACATTTGCCAATCGTGATCTCAGAGTTTGCCTTCTAGAAAACACAAACTCCAGTATTTGGTGCCAGGAGTGCTCTGAGAAAGCAGATTCTGGGATATGATTTTGGAACTGGGTCCCCTACCATGGTCCTGAGCCAGGAGAGTACGCACTGGACTGGATTCTGAGGGTATTGATCAAGGGAGGAGGAGCATAAAATTGGAAAAGTGAGAGGTTATCAATTTGCGATCACATTCCTAGGATACAGCATTTAACATTCCGGACATGGTGCACAGTAGTTACTTGGATGGTCCCTACTAGCATAGGAAAAGTGATGGCCCACTCTAAGTGAGGTAGAAGTGCCAAATGCCATGGCTGATGGGAAAGAAGAGATTGAAAGCCTTAGAGAAGTGGGCATGCTGGAGTGGATATACCTTAAGGCAGAAAATCCACCAAGACTGTGTTGCACAGGAAAGCTTGAAGCTACTTACTCAAGCAATAACATATGTGTTGGTGAGAGGGGCACCAGCATTACTTGGAAGATCTGTCTGTGGTACTTCTCTGTAGGCAGGGGGGTGGTAGAAGTTGCTGTTATAGAACTAGGCTCAAAATGGTAATGTGGATGACAGGACCCTGAAACAATATAGACTAGGTGGCACTACTTTACCAACAGAATCCAAGTGGACACAATGATTGTACTGAGTGGCAAGGAGGGAGAGGGATGGGTGCAAGCCTACGGAGAGTTATGGGTGCAAGCCTATGGAGAGTTATGGGTATGGTTAAAGGAACTTGGTTTCCCTAAGGGCAAAATAAATCAAAGATAGGTGATCAAGAGACTGAACAGTTTCCTACTTTTCAGATCTGAGGCAGTTCTCAGAACTAGAATCTACTGCCTGAAAAAGAAGTCAGGTACCCAGGAGGAAGGATTTGCAAGAGCTTAACAAATGTACACAATAGTCATTCCCTAGTCCTTCACAAAGGGGCCAACAGCTATTTACTCAAGTGAATGAATTCTAGGGAAAGATGAATACACATATATTCTGAGGACTTTTGGGTACAGGATCTGAGTTGCTATCTGGTAACCTGAAATGCCTTTATGGGCGCAGGTTAGAGTAGGGGCATGGATGGGGCAGGTGATAATTGGAGAGCTGGTCCATATCTGGTCCTCCTGTGGGTCTACTACATCCATGGTCTATCCTGTCGACATTTCACTAGTCTCAAACATGAATGTCACAACAATGACATCATGCTAATCAGACAAGATGAGTACAAACTGGAAGTACATTGAAGGCCTTGGTAAGATACATACACTCCAGAGGGAGGGAGATAAAACCTACAAAAATTCAGGGACTCGCCATCATTTTAGGTGCCCAGTGGTCTGGGACATTTTGGGACATTCCCTTCAAAGTAAAAGATACATTATCGCTTGTTGGACCTCCCACCCCCAAGAAAGAAATACATACAATGTCTGGTAGGCTTCTTTACATTTTGGAGGTAGCAATTCCATTCCTACTAATATAGTGGGTGACACCAAAGACTGCCAAATTTGAGAGGAGTCCAGAGCAGGAAAAGACTCTGCATCAGTTTCAAGTTGCAGTGCAAACAGATCTAATGCATTGACCATATGATCTGTAAGACACTACGTTATTAGAAGTAGAGCTGGTAGGAAAAGACACTGTATGGAGTTTATGGAAAGTGGAAGAATCATAATGTAGACCTCTTCAGTTCTGGGACAAAGCCATTCCATCTGAAGCTTAAAATTATATACCTTTCAAAAAAAAAGCTTCAGGTGTGTTGTTGAGCCCTGGCAGGGACAGAGCACCTGACCATGGGACATCAGATAACCATGTTGTCAGAACTAGTTCCATGAGTCAAATCTACCTAACCCTAAAGTGGGTCCAACATCAATCAATCTTAAGATGGAAGTGATACCTCCAAGACAAAGCCCAAGGACCAGTAGAGGAAATGCAAGCACTGTAAGCTGGTAGCCCAGACCCTCATGTCATCTTCCACTGTTACACTTGTGCCTCTCTCAATTTACAGGTAGGGGGCAACCCTATATGACCAGGAAATGGAGGAGAAAAAAAGCCTAAACTTGTTTCATGGATAGATCATGTTAAGAATGTGAGCGTAAGCCAAAAATGGATTGTGGTGCACTGCACCCTCACTCAGGTGTGGCTTTGAAAGTCAATGGTAAAGGAAAATCTTCATAATAGACAGAGTTCAGGCTGTAGACCTGCTCATCCACCTTATATAAAAAGAGAAGTGGCCTGAGTTCAGCATATACCTAGTATACACAGACTTACTGGCAGTGCCAAATGATTTTATTCAGTCTTTAGGAACCCGGAAATGAGAAAGTTTCAGGCTAGTGACAAGTAGACCTATGGAGATGGATATAAAGTGTGAATATATTTGTATCTCACGTTAATATCCACCAAAGAGCATGTCTCACAGAAGATGCACTAAACTATCAGGTAATCAAAATGACTTGGCAGTAGACATCAGCCAGACTCTGTCATTGGCCACCCCAACGCTGTCATAATGGACGTATGAATGGAGTAGCCATGTTGGCAAGGATGGAGGCCATGCATGGACCCAACAACATGAACTCACAAGGCCAAACTAACTACTTCTGCTAGCAAAAAAGACCAATGCTGAATTCCCAATGGATTATTAGATGTATGGGTCTGGAACCTAGGAAAGAAGGGTAGGTTGGTGGTACACTTTTGGTACGTATTGGGATAGGATTAGTGTGTTATGGGCTATGATCAAGGGGAGAGAAGATGATAAAGCCCAGGGAGCAACAACAGTTAAAGAGTAGGCAAAGGAATAAAAAATTTAACAGAAGCCTGAGAATGAGCAGTTAGAAGAAAAATAAAGCAAGAGCCAAGAGAGGAGAGCTTCCTAAAGAAAGAAGTGAAAACAGGTTAAGTAAGATGCAGATTAGAAAATATCCATTGGTTTTAGCAACAAAAAGGACATTAAAAATTTTGGTTGGAGCAGTTTCAAAGGAAATGAAAGAACTAGAGCATGGGGGGAGTTGAAATGTGATTGGGAATTGAATAAAGGAATGAGCATGAGTTGAGTTTTAAAACATCATACTAGTGGGGAAAAAGAACAGATAAGTTGGTACAGAAGGGGGAAAGTAGTAAAGGTTTGAAATAGCAGCTATGAAAAATAAGACAGCCAACATATCCGCAAGTAAAGATCAAGCAGTGCCGAAGCCAAGCCAAACCCAAAGTCCACAAATTTGCATGGCCACCAATCAACTTGATTTATGTGCTTTTTCTCTGGTGGCACTTGGTTTCTAGGAGATGGGGGTCCAGAATGCACATGGTTGGATCAACCTAAGAATTGTTATACAGTTAAAGGTTTTTACAGTGGGTATAGTGGAAAAAATGGGGGTCAGAATGTTCAGGGTCCTGGCAAATGAGACTATAATGTGATTCACTATGGTAGAAAGAAAGAAAGGGAAGCCATGAAGAGGTGAGGGCTAGGAAGAAGAGGGAGGGTCCAGATGTCTAAGACCAAGAGCTCTGAAAGCTGGGAAGTGAACGAGATGGAGGGATGAGCGGTTATGCCCAGATGCTGATATACTGGAATTTATATTTTCATAGGCCATTCAGTTCCAGCTGATGGTAATGTCTACCTTGAGGCAACAGTATACAGTGAGTTAGAGCCTTTGATGGATCACCAGCCTGGGTCAACAGTGGTTGAAGTGCAATAAATTTAAAAACTGTTAGAAGTAAGGAAGTCAATAGAAGCTGAATAAGTCAACATAGATGCCGATGACACCCAGAATGATAATAGTAATTCAGCTTTGAACCACCAGCAGCTAAGGAAAAATGGGTGATCTATCAGGTTGTTTAGCTCTTATTAAAGAAAGTATCATATGGGTCTGAAGAGACGCTGAATTCTAGAAATAATGTATTTTGTAGATAACTTTAACTATGACTCACATGAAGCTGATGACATTGCTTGAAGAGCAACACCCAAGTTCTGTAATAGATCAGTACAGTACCACCATGCCCAGCAGCCAGGAATGCTCTGGTCTTTTTCTCTAACTAGTCAAAGTGCAAAATTGCCATTTTCCATAAGTCCCCAAAAGACAATAGTAGAGGTGTGCAGATGGGATGTCAATCATGTGACTCAGATGTCATCAAGAGCCTTCCTGCTGCTTGAACCTTTCAAATTCCATGGTCTTTGGGAATTCCAAGTCTTCTTTAGAGAGTCTGCTAATTCTGCAGGTGGTTTATCTTTCCTGGGTCTCCCCTAACTCAGATTTCTCACTCACCACCTTTATCCTACACCATTTTGACCCCAAAGTGAAATTCAGTCCTTTGTGTAGTTTTTGTTATTAAGATAGATGATCACAAAGAAATTACTCAAGTTAACCATTCTTTCTAAGGAGTTAAAACTTATAACTTATATAACGGGTGGAAAACCCTGAGAGAGAATATACGATGTCTTTCTGAGAGAACCAAGCCATGGCTTAAATAAAGTTTTACTTTGTCACCTCTAAAATTTCATATTTTTAAATTCTAAACTTTAAAACTTTATCATGGTCATAATGATATCCAACTTTGTCAATATTTCCTTTAATCACTTCCTTCTCTGTAAGCAGAAATTTCGTACCTATCAGTTGAATTTTGTACCTATTGTTTTCCTATACATACATACATTTATGTATGTATTTTTATGTATACATGTATGTGTATATATATGTACACAGGTATATCATTTTGTTACTAAGAGGTCAATTTACATGCCAGCCACTTTCACTATTCTCCTGTATAGCCTGAATAAATGGGAAAGGGGCATTTGATGCTGAGGATGCTGTGTGTTGGAATAATACAAAATTGCTATAGGGGCAGGAGAACTTCACTACATAAAGTAATTGTAGCTATTATCCTTAGAGGAACTGGCAAGGGGCAAATGAATTGCTGTCACAACTTGAGTCTTCCAACTCTATAACAGGAATGATCTTCTTAGGGACTACACATTACAGTAATACTTGATACAGTTTGCAGCGTGGCACACTGTGCTTAGAGAATGGTAGAGCTCCCTCCTATGTATCAGGATGGATAAGAATATTGAGGATGCTATGATGAAGAGAAAATCCCATCTATTAGCCAAGTGCATATTACTTTTAACTCTTGCCGTGATCAGATTCCTCTCAAACTAATCAGTGGTACATGTATTAGCTTACATAAGTGGATACTATTTGGCAAATTATGAAACAGTTTATTATACTTTTCAAAAAGTCAGTAACACAACATCTGATTCTTTTTAACAAAATGTTTCTTCCCTTGAATATTTTCATTGCTTTTGTCTGTGGATTATAACCAGTTGTTATTTCCATTGAGTAACCCAACTTTACTAGTTTCTGGTTCTACATATCTGGAACCCAGTAGACTTAATTACATTTAATGATGACTTGTGTTAAGTAGCTGAACTTTGCCTTAGCTTGAAGCTGTGAGTTTCACCGTGCCTTGATATACATTACTGGCTAATCAATCACTCAGCTGGCTACATATTGTACTGTAGGAGAGTTCGACTGTGTATTCATATGAAAAATAATGGAACTGGGTCCAGAAGAATACTCAATGGATTCTCAAATCATTAATTTTTGGATTAAGCCTTTATCTTGGCAACATGTGTACAAATAAACAAGCATGACTGAAATTAATTTATTACATTCAAGAGACATCTGTAATTCTGCAGTTACTCGGCGAGAAAGAATTAAACAATTTCAGCTTTGACCATTTCCCTTCTTATTCTGGCTAAACAGACCTCGCCTTCCTAAATTACTCAGATCCTCTCTTCCAGCTGATAGGAAAACAAAGGACCTCATAAATGAGCCTTTGTATTTATAAATTTTAATACATACAAAAACACAAGGATGACATTAAAGTGTCATGAAAGACCCACTTAGAGACAAATTAAAGACTGATTCTTCTTGCTTCAAGTGGATCTTGAGCATCTGTATTGCAGTACACGCTATGTGAGAGAACAGGAATTGAGCTCATCTCCTAAGAGTTCTGAAATATGAAGGCTGGGGTACAAATCCCCTCTGAATATCTCATGGATCCAGGGGTGTTAAATTCAACAGGACTTTATTTCAGATTTTGCCCCCTATTTTAATTTCCTCTCCTTTAAGAAAAAAAGGAAAAAACTGTGACTAAAGAAAGATGAAAGATGCAGCCTCTGAAATTGTCATAGTGCCCTCTGTCTCACTGGGAACACTCTCACCAAGACTGCAAGGCTCACTGAGGGATGGGTTGGTGTCTTCTGACCCAGGAAAAGTAACCAAAGGCCAAACGGGATGAGAAATACGTCAGGATACACGATAGTTCTGCTCCAATAATCGACCAACTTAATGTTCAAGGGTATTTACTGTGGAGTCATAAAGAAGAGTCTTGAGATTTCTGCCAAGATCAGCAAACTTTTTAATCCCAAATGACTAACTGGGAAAATGTTTGTGGGTACCAATATGTGTTATTGGGAGGCCTACGTGAAGAAGGGAAAGGGAGAGAAGGAAGGAGACAAACCCAGGTTGTAGGAGAATAGAAGATGAGGGGAAGGGAGCCATTTAATAATAAGGATGGAAGGAAACAATCAGCAAATGAAAAGGCAACCTATGGAATGGGAGAAAATATTTGCCAACCATACATCCAATAAGGGGTTAATACCCCAAATGTGTAAGGAACTCATAGAACTCAATAGCAGAAAAACACATAAACTGATTAAAAAATAGGCAAAACACCTGAATAGACATTTTTCCAAAGAAAACATACAAATGGCCATCAGATGTATGAAAAGATGCTCCACATCACTAATCATCAGGGAAATGCAAATCGAAACCACAATGAGATATCACCTCACACGTCTTAGGATGACTATTATCGAAAAATCAAAAGATAGGTGCTAGTGAGAATGTGATGAAAAAGGAGCCATTATACACTGTTGATGGGAATGTAAATTGGTACAGCCATTATGGAAAACAGTATGGAGGTTCCTCAAAAAATCGAAAATAGAACTACTATATGATCCAGCAATCCTACTTCTGGGTATATATCCAAAAGAAATTAAATCAGTATCTCAAAGAGAGAGCTGCACTCCCATGTTCATTGCAGGTTTATTTACAATAGTCAAGATATGGAAAAAGCCAAGTGTCTGTCTATGGATGAATGGATAAAGAAAATGTGATACTATATATATATGGAATACCATTCAACCTTAAAGAAGAAGGAAATCCTGCCATTTGTGACAACATGGATGAACCTGGAGGACATTATACAAAGTGAAATAAACCAGACACAGAAAGACAAATGCTGTATGATCTCACTTATATGTGAAATCTAAAAATGTCAACTAATAGTATAGAGAGTTGAATGGTGGTGACTATAGTTAATAATAATATACTGTATACTTGAAATTTTCTAAGAGAGTAGATCTCAAGTATTCTCACCACACACATACACACACAAAGGTAAATATGGGAGGTGATGGATATGTTAATTATCTTGATTGTGGAAATCATTTCACAATGTGTGCATATACCAAAACATCACATTGAACACCTTAAATATATGCAATTTTTCCTTGTCAATCATACCTCAATAAAGTTGGAAAAAAAATGATAGTGTTGTTGGAGATAGCACATGGCTTCAGCAGCCTCAGAGGGCCCAGGGACTGTAGGCCTGGTGTGGGGTTTTCATGCTGGGGAGTCACTGTCATTCACTTACTCTGGTTGGGGTTTGGGGGGTATGGAGAATGGAAATACATTTTTTTTCTTTCTACACAAGAACATTTTTTTCTACTTGGTATCATTTGAGGATTTTATGGAAGTAAATTGAACGAAATAGGTTCCATTTATTGAATACCTACTACATACTTACTCTTACAACAACATCATAAGGCGTCTTATCTGGATTTTATAGATGAGGAAACTAAATCTCCCAGGAGTCAATATATTAAGGGGTTTGCTCAAGTCATACACGTAACAGGAGGCAAGCTGGGCTTCAGTCTGGGTCTGGCTTCAAAGCCTGACTACCTTATACAGCTACCTCCAGAGTACCAACTTCCCCAACTGCAAATTTAAATCTCTGCTTTAGATATTTAATTGTTTAAGGAGATTACCTTTCTTGAAGTAAGATTTAATGCTTGATTATATGAAAATGTGAACTTCTTAATGTGGTTTCTATTCCATAGAATGTTATTTGCTAGATTCATTTAGGACTTGGATGACAACAAAATGATTTAGAAGCAGACATAGGGCCAGAAAACAAAGGCTCTGATGTCTGTTTAGCATTGTTTGGACAATCTCATGGTATGTTATTTTTGCTTTTATTTTATTTTAACTGATATTTAACTTACAGAGTTAAAAATATGAAATTATATTGACTTGTGGAGTTAAAAATAATTTATAACCCATCTTGTTCTAGAAAAGATTTCAGGTGACATGAACCATAGTTAGGTAAGTATTTCTATACTCCTTCATCTCTCCTGACTAGATGTCCAATCCTTGGGGCCAGAGACTGTCCTAGCCATCTTTATTTCCCCAGCAGTACCCAGTAGTTCTTGATGTGGTAAGCAGCCAACATTTGTTGAATTCATTTCTGCTGAAATGGCTTGACAGATGGTGCACAAAGAAGAAGGCTTCTATAGAAAAGCACTGTTTTGACTGTCTCCCAAAAGAAATAGAATATTTTAGAATCAAAGCTAGATGGAATGATTCAAGTTTAATACTCTTTGTGGATTAGTAGATTAGTAGATGATGCTTTCAAATCTTTAAATATCAGTAATTCATGTTGAATGAAAAACATTTCTAGATTTTAAATCTATCACTTTGTAAATATTTTCCTGGGCCAGGAACAGGCACCACTGTACCCTTATATTGTAATAGATATTATCATTTCTGCCCTTTTATAAAGGATCAAAAGAAGCGGGTGCATTGAGGAGCAAGTGCATGGGCTGTTTTTATCTCTAGGTTCTGCGTTTATCTATCAACAGTTTTGTGGGTGGTGTTGGTTGCCTTCTGCCTGTATTCTTTTTACTTCTTATTTGTTGGCAGCTCTTGTTTATACTTTAAGAAAATAGAAAGAGTACTTCACAGACTGTGGTTTTACTTTATTCTTGTATTTTTTTTTTTTGCTTGTACAATATGAGTGCTATAATTAAAATGGCAATTAAAATTCAATACTATATGATATATACTTAATGCTATATTATCTGTGACAGTGCAAGGCATATAGTAAAATATTAAGAAATAATGATGGATTAAGAGATTCATCTTCAGAACCATCCTCTGAGGCTCCAGTTCTGCAATTCACTTGCTGTTGACTTTGGACAAGTTATCACCCCTCCTGACTTCAGTTTTAGCATCTGAAAAGTGAAGAGATTAAAGCAAATGACACATAAGGACCACTGAAACTTTAGCATCCTATGATCAACTGCATGGTATAGATTAGTTCATTACCTCTGATTTTCTACTAGAAGAGTCAAGTTATTGGTATTTTTATGGAGTAGATGAGTTTAGAATACAGCTTTACCTTTTCTGCTTTTCTTAACCAGAGGCCAAATACAGTGTAAATTATAATAAGATATTTTTTGTAGTATCATAAATGTTCTTCCTTCTTCAATCACTTTCTGGCATATCATTTCACTCGTGGGGTAAAAGCTTTCAGATATATCACTACTCCCAATGATATTCAAGTTACCCTGAAAAAATTTTATTAAAATCTACTTTTAGGGTTCTTGGCTGAGTGGTTAAAGTTCCATGCACTCTGCTTTGGTGGCCTAGGTTTGCGGGTTTGGATCTCGGGCACGGACCTACTCCTCTCATCAGCTGTAGAGGTATCCCGCATTCAAAACAGAGGAACATTGGCACGGATGTTAGTTCAGGGCTAGTCTTCCTCAAGCAAAAAAAAGAGGAAGACTGGCAATGGATATTAGCTTAGGGCTAATCTTCCTCACCAAAAAACAAAACAAAACTATTTTTAGCCTCCTAAAAGTGCCCAATAAAGTGAAGAAATACCCAGTACCAACCCAATTTTAGATGAAATCATATACTAATCCAAACACAAGTTAACCTGGAAGAAATTAAACCACTTCACAGTGAACTTTTAGACAAAGCCTGTGAAAATGGTTGCTATTTTTCAGAAGGGTGTTGTGTGGGGAGGCAATCTGGCTACAAATTACACTATAAGACTTTGTGGGTCTGTAAATTGTTTCTAAAAGATTATTGGTGACATTCTTCTGCCATAGAGAACAAATTTCCACCAAGAGAATTACCAGGGTTGATATCTGATATCAAGCAAGTTGAGATGAAAAGAAAAAAAAGGAGAATGGAAAATTTACTATAAATGCCAACAAAATACTCATCATTTCCCCCTTCTTTTTAAGATGAATAATTTAGACATGATTTATATTACTTTTTGTTTTGTAGTCTTCATTTTTCTGACTCTAGTGATATGTGATCAAAAATGTAATGTGTTCCAAAGATGGAGATGAATTGAAAAAGCCAGACAGGAATTTATTTTAATAGCTTTGACTACCCAGAGGATCAGAAAATCTACCTTGGGTTTCTAGAGATTCTGGGATAAACTTGGATTATGCTGCTAGCAATGGGTAGCTAACACTGTGTACACTACTAATATACACTGATATCTCTAGTGAGATATAGAAAAATCTCTAGACAGCCCCTCAGATAACTGCTTGCTCTAGAGCCCTCATTGTTGCTCCCCTCAATTAGCAATAAAAAGAAGTTGCTAATCATTGGCAGATGTCACTAGTCATCTCTATAAAATATGTTTTAAATCTGCTTGAGTATTTTATGGAAATCAATGTGTCCTGAGTTACTCCCTTTAATTCAAAGTCTAAGTACCCAAATTTGGAATTAGTGTTTAAGTATATGCTTATGTGTTAATATTTAGCTTTCTTTTAAAGAAAAATCTACAGATAGTTTAAATTAAAATGTCTCATGAGTGAATGAATGAATGACTGTTTCTATCTTTTTAAAAGGAGATCTGCTGTGGTCTTGTAGCCTGCTCCAATATTGCGTGCTGCTACAGAAAGAGAACAATGAATATTTGGAGATGTCATTGCCTTCCCTGGACAGCCTGACTTTTGGAGATTTTTATTCTCGAAGGTTGTATACAATTCTGGTAGTTTATCCCATGAGAGGGTTAAGGCCTTCGCAGTCTCCCAACAACAAACAAAGTAAAGACCAGTTTCTAAACTGTGGTCACGGAGAGATTTGCAACCACTCAGAGTCTGAAGGGCAGTTTGAACTGATTAGCAGTCTCTCCAGACTCTGAATCCAGCAGGCAGCCCATTCTGGCCCTGACTTGGGTGCTGATGGATCATTTTAGTGTGGGAAACACTGGGACATGACAGAGTAAATGGAGAAAGACGGGTACATAAGTTAGGTAGAGAGAGTCATAGACAGACAGAGATCACCAGAGATTATTTGTGTGATATTGATTAAATTCATTACAATGAAAAATAATTATTTTTAAAAACACTTTCTCCAGCCAATCTGTAGTTTCCGGTATTTAGTAGAAATAATAGGTGTCTGGGACTTTCCCTTGCCATCATTAGTGTCAGACACTAGGAGAATTTCACCTGAGTAAATTTGGCAGCCAGTCTGCAACAGGAATTCTGCTTGTCTCTACAGAAAACTGCCCAGGTTTGGTTGGTACCTGTAATACTGTCATCACATGGTACCTGACTTTTAAGCGTTGGTTTGAAGTAAGGCATGGCTTCCATTTGTAGTGATCTTATTGTGGCTACAGGAAACTCACGATCGAAGCTTATGTTGTGTGCATCTGCTTTGTATAAATGCTTTATTTCATTTGGAAAAAGTTCAAATGTTCAAGAGAGGCCACAATTTTTGACTATTATAGACAGACAAATGATGCTTTGGAACTTTAAGAGATAATAAGGAAGTGTTTAGTTTTTCAGGGATAATTGAGAAACGTCCCTCTTATTTACATAAGATGTGGTTATCTTAGAGGGCACACTTGGTTTGCTTTCTCTCTACTGTGAGCCAACATACACATCACTCTGATTTCCTGGAGTTTCTTCACTCCTCCTTCTGCCAAATTACATCCCAGCCTCCTTTCAAAACTATGCGTAAAATACACATCCTTCAGGGAGCTTTCAGGACTAACCTCACCAAGCTCCAGTCACTCTCACAATATTCCTGTTGGGTTTTACTTGTATTTTTCCAGATTCAATCATTCATTGATGGATTCATTTAACATACTTTCAACTCAATGCTAGGCAGAGCTCTAGGCACTTAAGATATATTAATGAACAATGTAAAGATTTCTTTCCTCAAGGAGCTTCTGTTTCAGTAAAGAGAATGTGATGGTTAATTTTATGTGTTACCTTTGCTAGGCCATGGCACCCAGATATTTGGTCAAAGACCAGTCTAAGATCTTGCTGTGAAGGTATCTTAAAGATGAGATTAACAGACATTGAATAAAGCAGATTACCCTCCATAATTTGAGTGGACCTATCCAATAGTTGGAGGGCTTAAGAGAAAAAGACTGAAGTCTCCTGAGGAAGTGGGAATTCTGACTTCAGACTTGAGCTGCAACATTAACTCTTCCCTGGGTCTCCTGGCTGCCAGCCTGCCCTGCAGAGTCAAACTTGCCAACCCCCACAATCACGTGAGCCAATCCTTAAAATCTCTCTCTCTCTATATATGCACACATCCTATGGTTTTGTTTCTCTGGAGAACCCTGAATAACACATAGAGATATACAATAAACAATAAACATAAACAAGTGAGTAAATTATATGGTATGTTAGAAGATAATAAGTGTGAAAGAAAGAAATGAAAAATTCAAGCAGTGTAAGGGGGACTGGAAATGTTGAGGATGGGAACCAGGCTGTTTTATTAAACAGAGGAGGCCTCATTGAGAAGATGAGAGCTGAGAAAATACCTGAAGACGCTTGGAGAGTTAGTTAGCCAAGGGGCTTCTGGAGAAAAAGCACTTCAGGCAGAATGACCAGCTGGAGCAAAGGTCCTAAGGCAGGAGTGTGTCTGTCATGTTCAAGAAATGGCAAGGAAGCTGGTGTGGCTGGAATGGGAAGCACAAAGGGTTGAGTAGCAGGAGATGTGGGCTGAGCTGTAATAGGAAGCAAGATGCACGAGAGCCTTACAGGCCACTGTCAAGTGAGCCATTGTAGAGGGTTGAGCAAAACAGGGATGGGATTCTGACTTACGTTTTGAAAAAAGTTATTCCTATCTACTGTCCTGAGAATAGACGTTATAGAGGCCAAGGGTAGCAGCAGAGACATGTGCTGGGAAACTGTATCCATCAACTATTGCTGAGTAACAAACAGCCTCATATTCAAGTTGCTGAAAATGAGAACCCTTATTTAGCTCACACTTCCTTGGATTGGCAAATTAGGCTGGGCTCAAGGGGGCAGTTCTACTGGTTGTGTCTGCAGTCAGCTACAGGCCAGCTAGAAGGCAGTGCTTCAGGGAGCTGCCCTGGGCAAGGGGGGCAACGACCGGGCAGCATGCTTATTCACCTATCTTTCAGCAGGCTTTCAAGAGAATGAGCAGAGTGTACAAGGTCTCTTGAGGCATAGGCTCAGAGCTGACATGCCTTCAGTGGGAGCATATTATATTAGTTGAAGTAAGTCTGGGGGGTTTCAGATAGAAGGGTTAACGAATAGATTCTACATCTTGATGGGAGAAGCTACAAAGCCACATTACAAAGGGGTGTGATACAGCAAGGAAATAATTGCTGCATTTTTGCAAACAGTCTACCATACATGCTATTTTGGTTGGCCAGGTGAGAGATGATTGTGTTTAAACCAGGGTAGTAGAATAGAGGTGGTCAGAGCCCATATATACTTTCAATGTTGAGGCAATGGGATTTCTTGATGGAAGGGTGTAGCGTGGAGAGGAGGAAAGGAGAGGAGGCAAGGATAAGCCTGAGGTTTTGGACCCGAATGACTAGAATGATGGAGTTGCCATACACAGAAATAGAGGAGACTGTGTGTGGAACAGATTTCTGAGAGAAGAGAGGGGATTTCATTCTGGCCATATTATTTCAAATGTCTGTTAGACATCTAAGGAGAAGTGTGAAAGAGGCAGTTTGATACCAAGACTAACGTTTGAGAGACAGGTTTGGGCTGCAGTCCTCAGCACATAGCTGATATTTAAGACCATGAGACTGAACACCATCACTTCAGGAATGACTAAAGATGAAAGGAAGGGACCAAGGATTGAGCCCCAGAACCATACACTAATGCTAATACTAATACCAACATGTAGTGTATTAGGAGTTCACTAAAAAGAGGAAGAACCCATAACAGAGGCTGAGGAGGGGCAGCCAGAGACATGGGGAAAAAACAGACCAAAAGAGTACGGTGTCCTAGAAGTCAAGAGAAGACAGTGAATTGAGGAGTAGAACGGGATTATGCCAAATGCTGCTGGCAGGTCACCTGAGATCATTGCCAGCCAGATCATTTGAGGATCTTCGCAAAAAATAAGCTTTGGGACTTTCTTATTATTTTTTCTATTGAGAAAATATTTCCACACTGGCTGTCGCAGGAGTGGCAGCAGTGTTAGTAAAATAGTAGGAATGGTAGTAGTAGTTGTACTCGTACTAGTAATAATGTAGTAGTAACAATAATAGTAGAAGCGTAGTAATAGTAGCAGTAGTACTGGAGTAGTAGTACAGAAGTAGTGATAGCAGCATCACCGTGGAGCAGGAGTAGAGGTGTAGTAGCAGTAGTGGCAGTAGCAGCAGCATCAGCGTGCTCCAGGCGGTGTCCCACATGCTTCATGTAGATGATCTTATTGAATCCTCATAGTAATCCTTTTTTTATGGACGAGCAAACTGAGGCACAGACAAGTTGACGACCTTTCCCAGAATCACACCTGGAGGAAGCGAGAGGTCCAGAATTCAAACCCAGACATTCTGATTCCACAGCCTTCCACTTCACCTCTCTGCTATGCGGACGCTCAGGAAGTAGGGACAATGGCCTCCTCAGTGCTGTGGTTGCAACAGATTACATTTTAGGCATCAGATTCCATCACCCTTTATTATGAAAGCCAGGCTCCTGGTCCTGTAACCATTCTTCTGGCATATCTTGTTCTTAGTTATTTACGTAATCATCTCCATTTCAATCTAACCAATTTGAAGCAGCTTAACAAATTATACAGCATAACCAGGTAAAGAGTAAGTGATGGGTTGGGCAGATACCTCGCATCCATCAGTCATTCTAATACCTGTCTTACGTGTGGTAGGGGAATGATAACTTTTCTTGTCTCAAAATTTCCTTGCCAACCAGACTCAGAAGGCACTATGCAAATTTTTGACGAACTCTTTCCTAATTTTCCATCGTTTTAATAGAAGGAAGGTAAATTTTCCATGCCACTTAAGTATAAACAGCATGTCAAACTTTTTGCACTGTATATAATCAAAATATCTTTGAATTATAAACACATAATTATGGATAGCACAAAGAATGAATAAAGTTTATTCCAATTCTAATTCAGACTTAGACAGAGTCACTTGTGTCTATTTCATGTTTCTCTAAGACAGATACTAACACACTTCCTATTCTTTCTAATAATATAAAATGCTTTAGCACTGTACAAAAATATGCCTTGGCCATAAATTATTTTAGTCATAGTGGCCATTTAAGTCCATTGTTGGAAGTGATCATTGGAGATGATGCGAGGGGCAGGGGCGGGGCGGTATCCCACTGGAGCTGTCTGCAGGCAGGTAGGCGAGCATCTATAAATTTGGTTCAGCGTTGGCCACCTATAGCACAGGGTGGTGGGCAAAGTGCGATTCTAAACCCACTCAAAGGCAGGAGACAAAAACTGAAACAAGCTCACACTCCCTTCAGCAAACTCTGCCCTCCTTGGGAGTGAATATATGTAGTCTAGCTCAAATTCAACATGCTTGAAATGGGACATGTTCTGAATTTTTATTTCTGCCCCCAGTCTCTCAGCTTTCTAATCCATTCCTCACACCACCACCAGATCAATCAAAAAGCCTCACTGTGTTGTTTTCCTTCTGAAAATCTTGAATGACTGTCTACTGCCTATAAGATCCATACAATCCTCCCAGGCTGGGCAGGTTGGCTAGCCGAGGCAACAGCCATTCCCAACACTTTTCTTCTTTGCCACCCCACTGTACAGGCTGGAAAGCAGATACTTTTTTTCTCTGCCTCTCTTTCAGCTGCAAGGGCCATTGAGTCATTTTTAGAAAATGAGATGTAAGACTACTGGGAATTCTGGGAAAGACTTTGCTTTTCCGATCAAAGAAACACATGTAGTGGTTATTATTCTCTCTCTATGTCCTGTCTTGAACATAGATAAGATGCCTGGAGCGTCTGCATCCATCTTGTGACCATGTGGAGATAAATATAAGGATAAAAAGTCCCTAAGGATGGCAGAGCAGAAGCAGAAAGATCCTGGTCCCTGAGAACTCTGTTGAGCTGCTGACACAACCCTGAAAGTTCCTGCTTCTGGATTTCTTGTTAAGAACAATAAATGTCTATATGTTTTGATCAGGTTTTCTGTTTCTTGCAGGTGACATTATTCCTAACTAATTCAGCCTGGCATTCAAACATCTACACTATCTGATTTGAAGCTATCCTTTCACACACATTACACATCTACCTTTTCTTGGCTACTTGATTCTTGTGTTTTAGAAAAATCTTTCTAGTTTCCATTTCCAGCACACCTGGCCTTTCCTGCTTCAGTGACTTAGTTTATGTTATTTCTTCCACATGGAATTCCTTTTTTGAATTCTTCCACCAAAACTCACCTCCCTTCTTTGTCCCTAGTCTTGCTATGTAGTCTTGGATGTCCAGCTTACCTGTCACCTCTTCCATGAAAACTTTCCTGATCTTTCTGGAGTTGATAGCTACCTTCTTTGAATTTATATGGAACTTAGCTCTGTGCAACAAAGATAACACCAAGCCCCAGAATATAATTATTTATGTACGTCTTCTATCTTCTAAATTGTAACCCTTGACCAATATTTGACTCATATGTCATTATTTTTCCTTGGAGAGGGATTGAATTTAGGTGTTCACTTTTTTTTTTCTAAATGAGTAGACGAATAAATAAAGGAAATGGCTTCTAAGCTTCTAAAATACACAGTAGGTTGGGAGCAACAGAATTGAGAAGTGGTGACATAGAGAGGACTCATAGAGAGAGTCAAAGAGCAGAGTATTCTCTCACCTTAAAGAGGCCATGAAAAGTTCTGTCAACTACAGGACAACCTAAATGGGGTTTTGGTCAATTGCAAGGAATGAAGCAACTCTTTGGTCTCAAGTCACGTTTTGGCTGTTGGGTGCTTATGCTTTTGTGCATCGTGTCTGTGACATTTAATGAGAATTGGGCACATAATTCTATATATTCTACAAGGACAACTGGGCCCATAAAATATTCTAATTAAAAGTTGTATTCTTTGTGGTTTTATTCACATGTTTTCTTTGTAGTATAACCTAATATGCTTGCTTAGAAAAACACATTTCATTGTTTTTGAGTCATTTCCCCATCTTGAGTTTATTAAACTTGAATTAAAATCAATTATTCTAAAAACAAAGCTCTGTTTTCTACACTGGAACTTCAAAAACTTTTGAAACTAAATAAAGTTAAATTTCAACACATTAAGCAAATGTAAGTCTTAAAAATGCCATGTCTTGCCCATCTCAAATACAGACATTAATTACAGCAACATGGGGGTCATTTTTGACCCTTGGTCTTTTCCAGTCGAGGCTGTTTGATTAATGTGATGTTAAATGCCTAATATTAGGTAATGAATTAATTACTCATCCTGAGCCTAGCCCCTTCCCACCCACTTCTAGTGGCAAAGTGTGGTTGAGGATAAACAATTCCATGAGGGGAAATAAATATTCTTACACATATGTACAGACAGACATATCTATGGCCCGAAAGAGAGAAAGAGAAAGAGAGAAAGAAAAGAGCTTTGGGAGAAAATATTTCAAATATTTGCCTCTCTCTCCCCAACATGTTTTATAAATATGTATTACAGAGGAAAAAATGCTTAGCAAATAAGGAAAGCCCGCTCGCACTCCCTAAGGACCACTGTCACTATGAGATCTTGATGACAGCCAGCATTCTGAAGAAATACATCTAAATCATGGACTTTTTAAAAAAAGTTAAGAAATCCAGAAGAGTCACAGGTCCTGATTACAGATTCTGGCACAATCTCAGTAATAGTTTTTAGACATAATGTCCTCTCAGTTGTAAACCCACATATGGGTGCTTTACTGGCCAAGTTCAGAGCCAATTGCTTCATGCGAGCCTGGAACCCTATCTACTCCTTTCAGATCTTTCAACAGTTTTCAAACAGTCAGCCTTACTTCTTTCCAGAAAGCAACCACCCATTCTTTCAACTTCATGTCACTAACATTACTCACCACAGCCCAGGAATAGACAAGGGTAATCATGTTTTTTTAAATTTTGGAAAGAGCCCAAAGGTTCCAAATCTCTTCCAAAATTCTCTGAGTCGTTTCTTAGTCTATGACTATCGATATTCTCAGATGCTTTTGGAGGTTTCCTTACTTTGTTCATTCATTTATTCATTCACTTCTTCACTCAACAAATATTTATCAAGCACCCACTATGCGCCAGGCAGTGTTCTAGACTCTGGGGATATTTTGGAAGACAAAATCCTAGTGGAGTTTGCATTCTATTGGGAAGAGATGATTATAAACAAAAAACAAGAAACAATATACCAGGAAACGATAAGTGATATGAGAAAAATAAGCATAGTTATGCGGGAAAACAAAGCTGGGTGGGAGGGCTGCTGTTTGCATTGGGTGGTCAGTGAAGGCTGCTCTGACAGCGTGCCTGGAGCAGGAAGTGGAGGGGGGTGCACCATGCAGATATCTCAGAGAAGAGCCCTTCAGGCAGAGGAAACAGGAAGTGCAAAGGTCCTGAGTATGTTGATGGGTTCAGGGAATGGCTGGGGGCCAGCGAGGCTGGAGCAGAATGGGCCAGGTGCATGGGGTTGGAGGAAATGACATTAGATAAGAGAGAGCTGAGGCCAGATAAGACGTTGCCATCCATTTTAAGGGTTCTGGAAGTTACTCCAAGTGAGATGGGAAGCCATGGAAGAATTTTTAGCAGAGGAATGAAATAATCAGATTTAAGTCTTAAAAGGATCACTTTGCTGCTATGCTGAGAACAGACTATGGAGTCAAGTTCATAAGCAGGGAGACCCATTAGGAAGCTATTACAATAATTCAAATGCTAGCTGAGTTCCTGTTGTCGAAATTTATATATCCAGCCCTGTCTGGGTTAGATGTTTAACAAGATGCTCACCTCATGACCAGCTTCTGGGTGTAGCATTTTCTCAGAACTATTCATAACCTGCTCTGATCTCATTTCTGTATATGGACCAACGTGTCCCCCATCCACCTACAACCAAGTCAGCTTCTTTGACTCTATCTTAGGAGTAGAAGACATCTGGCTTTCTGGCTCTCAAAGATTCTTCCTCTGGGCTTCAAATGGTTTTGCAGGAACCTTGCATTTGTATCTTTCTCATCTTCCAAGGTGTCTCTGATACCTCTAGGTTTGAGAAATTCTCTTCCATCCCCTGGTCGATTTTTTGGTAACCTTCTTGGTCTTACCTGCAGCATATTCAGTTATGTTACCAAAGCAGATTCTGGCTTTAGTTGGATCTCTGCCTCCTCACATCCTAACAATGGTGCCCAAGATGAGTCTTTCTGTAGCTGATATGTGCCCTGTGGCAGGTGACATCATCCTAGGGGCACTAGCACCTCAACTTCTTTTTATTTTTGAGGGAGATTATCCCTGAGCTAACATCCACCACCAATTCTCCTCTTTTTGATGAGGAAGATTGGCCCTGAGCTAACATCCAGGCCCATCTTCCTCTACTTTATATGTGGGACTCCTGCCACCGCATGGCTTGAAAAGCGGTGCATAGGTCCCTGTCTGGGATCTGAACAAGTGAACCTCAGGCCACTGAAGCTGAGTGCATGGACTTAACTGCTCAGCCACCAGGCTGGCCCCCAGTACCTCATTCTTTAACATTAATAAAACTTGTCCTGCTTCCTCTACTCCCCAGACCTCCTACAAAGTCCCTATTTCTAGTCTGAGAGATGCCTCTGGTCCAGAGCTCATTTTAGGAGCAATAATGATTGACAGGCCCTGAGCCTTCATTCCATTTTTCAGTTCCAACCACCTTCTCCCATTACCTATGCCAGAGGTTGCTGGCAACCCACCAGCCATATCAGCTCACAGATGTGTTTCATTTGGCCCATAAAGTTCTATTTAAAAATTTTGAATAATTGCCAACACTTAAAAATGATGAGATTTATAGAAAAACCTGCATTTTTCATTTCTCTTGAAAAATTGGAAGAGTTGGCTAAACTGGGTCTGCACCCTCACATGACAACAGTAAACCGGAGTTCAGTAGCAGCTGCGTCATTTGACAAGACATGCGCTCTGCTGTTCCTCCCAGCCCCACCCAGCCCACTTCACTGGTTGCGTTCCTTGCCTGTTGGTCCTGCTGGATATTTGAATGCAAAACCTATGGTTTCTACTCTCATTCTCCTATTTTCCATTAGCCTTTCCAAAATTATTCTAGAGGTCCCCATTGCCCTTGGAGAACTTTTAAGGATGAGAGTAATCTTTTAAAATTATACCTTAAAATGTAAACAACAGCAACACTGCCCAACATATAGAAAAGAATAAGAGATATAACTCGCATAGGAGTGACTAGTTTCTCATATCTTCTCAAAATAAGAATCTAAATTGACAACTGGCTCTTTGTCCAGTTTAAAGCAACCTATTTGACCATTGGACATACACTTTGACCTTTCCCTCAGCCTAGCTCTCCCCTTCCAGTCTGTTGTAGCGAAGTCTCCTAAAGTAGGATTCATAGAAAGACCAACAGTGCAGCGCACCTGTTGGACACAGGTCCTAGTGTTGGATTTGACGTTGCCACTTCTGACCCAATGCCAAAGTTTCTATTGCTTCTTGGTCCATTTTCAGATGTCTAGGGAGGGAGGAGGAATTCTCTAATATCCCATTAGAGTTCCTGAGTGCACACAACTCAGTGGGGTATAAATATACAAAGCTTTTATTTCTTCTAGTCACTGCCTTAAACTGTGCCTCATTCATTCTCCCTTGCTTGTCACTTAATGCCATCTGGGATGGATCCCATAAATTTCCAGTTACTTTGAGTCATTAAAACTCAGGTATTTTAAAGTACAAATCTCAAAGTTGATTTTATCAACTTTTATCAATTTTATCCCTTCCCTCCTTTGTGATCTTTCTTGGGTGGTCCACGGATGTGTACTTCAGAGAGCCCTGTAGGACCCATCCACTCCAGAGTTCCCTGACCAGGAACTCCAGCTCTAACTCCATCTATTTCACCTTTCATTTGCTCGGGCCACCACCCCACACCACTCCTCCCTTGCCAGGAGGTCACCACTGTGGGAAGGGCAAGATGTCTAAATCTGTTACTTTCTGTGGTACCCACTTGACCCACAGTCAACTCACTCC